ATATCTTCTTCAGGGCGAAAAAGGAAAATAAAAGCTGAAACGTTTTCACGGAACCTTGCAAAAGCAGCGTGTTACAGTGGTGAGGGAAAAGCTCTGTGTATTGCGTGTAATCACATCCATACAGTTTATGATCACAACAACGACGTTTGTCAGGCATCTACATTGTCATCTGAGGAGATTACAAAGATCAAACGAGCGTTTTTTTAAACTCTAAAACATGAAATGTGGAGTTATCTGCTTTTGCAAAAAAAACGACTGTTAGAAATATCTGCTTTTGCTATAAAACAAGCTTTTAATATGGAAAAAAAAACCATACTTTCAATTAACTTGAAACCTGTATTTGTTTAAGTTATTATTACTTAATCAAAACAACCCAACTGCCGTTTGTTTGATATTACTTGGAATGCGCAATAAAAAAACGTGATTTTTTTTTTTAAATTATAAAAATGGAGTTATCGGTTTTTGCAAATTAATTCTTCATATATATATATATATATAGCTTTGGGGGAAAAAATCCAAGATGGCAGATGAAATGTTGATTATAAATATAATTCAAACCATTTTACCCAGAATTTGTGTGAATATGGAGTTGCTGCCTATGTAAAGTGTTGCACATCAGTCACTGTGAGGCTCTTTGTCCATTAAGATGCTCCCTTAGAAGCCAGCTGCCTATGTAGGCGGTAGGTAGCCCATTAGAATTCAGAACAGAGCCTTAATTCCTCCTGTCAGCGTCAAACAAAAACAAATGCCAAAATGCCCATGAGACAAAATGTGAATTTAAAACATTTTGTCTCCTTTGTTATTTCTCAATGGTTTAGAAATCCAACACTCAAGTTTATACCATGCATCCACACAAGTGTTCGTACAGGCTCGGAGGGTGTAGTGTAAGAAACACACTGCTCAGCGAAGTCACACTGGGAATATTGCTGTACAGTTATCCATGTGTCAGTGGAGGAGGATTTGCGACCTCTTGCACATCATGAATTGTTCAGGGCTACAAACATACAGATCATTTTAAAGCTGCGGGGGCAGAGCCCGGGTTCGGCTCTCCATGTGATATCGCTCCTCCAGCTTTACAATCTATTCCAGTTGGATACCATCAACATCCAATCAAATCCCAGTGAAGTAGACCCGGGATGTGTAATGAATGGCTCTGTGGGCATCTCTTTCTCAGCCAGTGAACAGCCTCCCCTCCTCCCCCCAGCAAAATGAATCAATGCTGCAGTTTAAAAATAACAAGGAATATTATCCACTTCATGCATTGCTGAGTGAACCGCATGTGTTGAATGCTCTCTGACAGGCTGCATCGGAGCAGAATGTGTTTCGGCGTTTCTGCACACTGGTCGCAGATCACGATGCAGGGTGTGGTGGGGTTTAAACGCTGTGCTGGGGAGGCTGTCCAAACAGCCCCATGATTCTGGCCGTATAACTCATTTCTCTGTGGTGTAATGTTTCTCCATGGCCGTCATGCTGAGTTAGGTGTCGATGCCAGGATTAGAAAATGGCCTCCTCGAATAGGGCGACCCCTTTGTTGACCTTTTTCACCATCGTGCCGTTTTTGAGTTTAATTCCAAGGTGGTCCATTTGTGCGGTTTTGAAGAAGTATTCCAGGCATGATGTTGATTACTTCAAAATATTAATTTGGACTTGTCCCTCCGTTTCTTTAAAAAAAAAAAAAAGTGGGAATGATTTAAGAGCAGAAATGTGAAGCTTATCATTTTTTTTTCTTTCAGTAAGATTTAGTTTTTTTAATAAAAAATAATATTTCTATTTATCAAGGATGCATTAAATTTTATCAAAAGTGACTGTAAGGACATTTATAATGTTACAAAAGATTTCAAAATCAGCATATTAGAATGATTTGTAAAGGATCATGTGACACTGAAGACTGGAGTAAAGGCTGCTCAAAATTCAGCTTTTCCATCACAGAAATAAATTATATTTGAGATATATTAAAATAGAAAAAATTTATTTTAAATTGTAATCATATTTCACAATATTACTGTTTTTATTTCTTTATGTATTTATGTATTTATTTATTTATTTTTCGATCACATAAATACAGCAGTGGTGAGCATGATAAGACACTTATTTCAAAACATATTACTAACCCCAAACATTTGAATGGTGTGTGTGTATTTATTTATTTTTAATAAATATAACTTGATATAACTTATATATAAGCTTTTTTTTTCACAATCACATCATGTTAAAATGCATATTGTTTACGTCTTGTGGCTGTATTGAAACAGTATTTTAGTGTTTACAGCCCAATTCACTTCCAATATAAGTACCTCACTGTTAGCCGGACCCTTTTTTTAAAAATAAAGAAGCGGGATAAGTGGAAATTAAATTTTGTGATAATCAACATTGTGCCACAAATACTATCCATCGAGCTTTAACAGCATGCAGATGCATTATGTAGATATGGAAATTAGGCTAAGTCAGGAAGCTCTCTCTCTCTCTCTCTCTCTATTATAATATTCAGTTCTGTAATGCCTAGGATTTTACCGGGGCATTACACTAAGATTACTGAAGAGAACCAACAGTTATGCCAAGGAAGAAGTGGAAGATTAAAGCTTGGCTAGGATTGTCACATCTCATCCAGCTGTGCTCTCCAAACAGGAAGAGAGAGGTCAGGATATGTAGGTCATAGAGCACCTGCCTTGTTTGAGGGCTCAATTATTCCTCAAATGGCATCAGACCACAGAGACTTTACCCGACAGGACAGACCTTACATCACTGGGTGAGGTGTACGGAGGCGAACATTACTGACACTAGCTATGGTTTTGGTAGTGCTGAGCACCAGCCTCCTATTTGATGATATGATAGGACAGGATGTGGCAGGCAGAAAAAGGAGACGGGAGACATCGTCACCACTTCCTGCCCGTCTAGAGTGGCCTTTGTGTCCTCCATATGGCTAGATATGATTGTAAAAGAGGATGTAAGCATGTGTGGATGTGTTTGTGTGTGAGGTGTGTATGTATTGTTTTTGTTGTTGTTGTTGTTTTTGGGGGGGCACATCCTGCATCCTTTCCCATTACATCGTTGCACTGATCTGCACCTCTTCTTACAAGTTCTAAATTAAATACTAATATTTAGTCATGCCTAATTGATCTATCTGACTAAAGGAAATTGTGAAGACAATTTTTCATATTTTAAAGTATGACATCCATCTCATACTGTTTTATACACAATAAACAGCATTGTTTTAGCTCTTCAGTCTATGCAAAATCTAGTCAGGAAAATGTTGTTTGTGCATGCTGATTTCATCAGAGTAAACCGGTGTTGTTATTATCTAAAACTAAAACAATTATTCTATGGTAATTGAAATGAGAATATAAATGTTAGCTGAAAAACTTAAACTTATAAAAAATGTAATGAAAAGTAGAAATGTTGCTACTTTTGTAGTTTGAAGTTGAAGTACTAAAATTATTCAAACTAAAACTGAAAGAAAAATAAATGTGAGCTAAATAGAAATAATTACAAAAAAAAACTAATAAAAAGATCAAAAGCATATAAAGAAATTACTGAAATTAAAATGAAAATATAATAATTCAAAATATGAATCAATTCCTTAATAGTATATAAATAATACTAAAATAACACTGAATCCTACTAGGGTGTGTGTGCACAGTGTGAGTAGTAATATCCTGATTCCCAATCAAATGCGAATTATGAATTGATTATTTTAAATTATTTGGTCAAAAAGACTCATGAAACAGCCTCAAACTTACTCACTCAGTAAATCATCCCGAGCCATTACTAAGTTCAACTGAGTAATTTTTCATTTGTGTCTGGTTTGAAATGAACTGAGAATTGTTACTGTGATGTAAACTTTTGATTTGTGAGAATTACATCGGTCTGTTTACTCTTTGGTTGTTCCTGTGTCAATGTACATAAAAATGCATATTCACAACGCAGTTATGTTGTGTAAATTAATAATGGTATTCAGGAACAAAAAGAAAAAGTCTGGATATTTCTGACAGTGATCTTCGTAATACTGTCTTTCTCACTTTTTTACCGCAACACACTGATGTGGTTTCTCAGTCAGATTTGCTGCTGCTTCTGTTGTATTGCTAGCCTTGTTCTGTGTTAGATGGATGAATTCTCAAGAGCCTTGGCCCAAAATACAATCATCAAAGATTCATAAAAATTATCCCTAGCAATCAGATGGCCATTAAAATTTCAGTGCCCTGAATATATGCTCTTTCATAAAAAAACAATGTTTTTGATATTTATATGGAAGATTATGACACAAAATTACCTTATTCCAGTAGCTGATTATGAATTGGGTTCAAGTGCTTATCCATGGTAGCGCTAATATTGCTTTTAACCATCCAGCTTTTCATAGGGAGTTAACCTTTAGCCTTTTAAATTGGTAAAGAAAGTGATAAGGTTTATAGGTCATGTTCTATGCAAATATAACAGTGTTTTTCTTCCTCTGTGAACCTTCATTACTAGATTCATTTAAATTCTTTTAAACATTTTCTTGATGTTGGACAAAAACGATGAGACACAAATCTCTAAAATTAGTATGAACTTCAAAGTTGACCTTTTTGATTTAGCATGTTTATTAGCGGCTACATGAACTTAGCGAGCCCCCTGGCCTTCACTTTAAAGCAGTCAGCTGTTTTTCATAACAGAACGGTGACTGCTTGTCAGTGTACACAATTCTTTGCGGTGGGACGCTTTTACATCAGTGATGTTTGTTGTGAGAGTGAAACTAAAAATGGCTGGTAACATATCCGTTCACGGCTCACAGTAATGTGAAGAATGTGTGCTGTCAGGGTAGAGGGTTTGGCCACTGGGCTCGACTGTTAATTGAGTTTCAGAAATCTTTAGAGAAATACATTGGTACCAATATCACATGTGGTTTAGACCGTAACGATTTGTTAATTCAACATAAAACTGATGTTTGTTTGTGTCTTCTCATTGCAGGCTACATCAGCACCTTGGCAGTCATCCTCAAGACGACGAATGCTAAACCATGGGTCAATGAGTTTGAATGTAAGGCTGAGTAATTTGCTCTCCAGCAGTCGTTAGCTGCTGATTCTAACATTAAACAGGCCATTGGAACTGCTCACGAGCTCTTTCATTTTCTCTCCCTATGCAGCGATCGAGCTGTCCTGCATGATAGAGTCAATCTCCACTACTAATCCCAGAATAGAATGGAAGAAGATTAAGAAGGGAGAGCCCAGTTATGTATATTTTGAAAAAGAAATAGCAGGTAAGCTGTACAACACTCTACTGAACACTGTGCCATACAACACATTGAGTAATGCTTTATAATATGTTTCAAGTTGCTAACATTCAGTTAATGCAAAACTTGACATGAAATTACAGTATATTTCTACAACATTTAATAATGTTGGTTAATGTTATTTTCTACATAAACCAATATTAAAAACGATTTGGGGTTGTAAGATTTTTTTACTGATATATATATATATATATATATATATATACACATATTATACTCTGATGCATTTATTTGATCAAAAGTACTTTATAAACAGTAATGTTGTCAAATTTTATTACAATTTAAAATATCTGTTTTCTATTTTAATATGTTTATTCTTGTGATGGCAAAAGCTGAATTTTCAGCATCATTACTCCAGTCCTCAGTGTCACATGATCCTTCAGATATCATTCTAATATGCTGATTTGTAGCACAGGAAGTATTTTTTAATATGATCAAAGTTGGAAACAGTTGTGCTGTTTAATATTTTTGTGGAAACAATGGGCATTTTTTTCAGAATTCTGTGATGAATAGAAAGAACAGCATTTATTTGAAATATAATTTTTTTGCAACATTCAAAATGTTTTTACTGTCACTTTTGATCAATTTAATACCTCCTTGCTAAATAAAAATATTAATTTTTCTCTAAAAAAAACATTTCAATAAAATATAAATTAACAGTACTATAAATAAATATGATTGGCCAATAAACAATAATATATTTATACATTAACCCAGATTACTGTCTTAAAAAATATGGTAAAACTAAACAATACATTTAAGTTTGTTAACATTTATACTAACAGTTTAACAGTTAATGCAATATTTAACTTGAATGAACAATGTTGAACAATACCTTTAGAATGTTAATTTGTACATAATATATACTAATACATTTTTAACACTTAGGGTTAAAGACTTATAAACAGTGAATTATGTAGTATTTATTATGTTATATATTATTAATGTTATATATTAGTTATTATAAATTAACCTACATTTAATTAATGTTGTATTGTTTATTGTTAGTTCAAGATAGCTTTTGCATTAACTGTTTAACTTTTACTGTTATCAAATTTAAACTTATTATAAAGTGTTAATGCGTTTAGTTTATTCAGCTAATGTTAATAAATTGAAACCTATTGTGTTTTCTCACATTCTATCAATGTTTAATAAGGATTTGGACTTTTGGAGTATAATTTAAAGTCCCACATTTTATGAACACCACTTTGTAGCAGCTTTTCATCCACCTTTTCAACTGTGAATCTGTTAATTTTTTCCAGGTGACTTGGAAAAGAGAGCGAAAATTCGAGAACCTGCGACCTTAGTCATTCTCAATGCAACAAGAGCCGACACTGCTGATTACCGCTGTGAAGTCACTGCCCCAAACGACCAGAAATCCTTTGATGAGGTTTTGATATCACTCACTGTAAGAGGTGAGGGTTCCACTCCAAAAATTCTACATCCATTAACTGCTCAGTCCACGAAGTGTTCACCCTGTCTTGTGCTGTAATGTGTCTTTAGTATACATACTTTTGAGAGGAATTTTGAGAGGAATCCCAACTGCTACGATGTAACATGAGACGGAGCGGCGGGCCACCGCACCCACCCTTGGCGCACATTTGAGGATGCTTGCAGCTCTAACTCTACAGGGCGTGTTCAGGGCTATATGAGGAAACCTCTGAAACTGCATCCGAGTTTAATCAGGGGTCTAAAAGGGGAAAGAGCAGCATGTTCAGTTGGCCAGGATGCTTGCAGTTGGAGTCACTAAGGTGCATGTGTGTGAGGATGCTTTCTCTTCTCTGAGATGATCTCTTGTGTGCCATGCAGTGAAGCCCGTCGTGCCCAGATGCTCCGTACCCAAGTCCGTCCCGGTAGGCAAACCTGCAGAGCTGCATTGCTTGGAGGATGAGGGCTACCCAAAGTCCCAGTACCAGTGGTTCCGCAACAAGGAGGAAATCCCAGAGGATCCCAAGAGCAGCCCAAAGTTCTTCAACTCCACCTACACCCTGAGCGGAGAAACGGGCACTGTGGTGAGTTGGGAAAAAGAGGCGATGGGGTAGGCGTAGGGATATTTTTGGGGAGCCAGTTGATGTGCGATGGGCTCAGCCATGAAGGGAATCTGCTGCCCTCATTTGCACATTCCAGAGTGCCATTCTCCGCCATTTGTACTCCGTGCCCTCGTCAACCTTCACACCACTTTTTAAAGTCTGACCTGCGCTTGCAGTACAGCCTCTTCCCCCTGAGGAGACAACCTCTGAAGAGTTTACTGTGTGTCTTTTAAGATCTGGCAAGAGCCTCGTTCAACACTTCGGTCTTGCTTTTATAACACACGCATACACAAAGATGCTTCTAGGTTCCATTTGTTTGATGAGAAAATCCTTTAAATTTAGTTAATATTTCATCATGTAATTTTAATCAGTTTTGGCATCTAATTTTAGGTGACTAAAAACATTTTAGTTGATGCAGAAGTTCAAAAATAAACCAAATATTTAAACATTTAGTATATTAATTTTCAAAAAGTGGTCACACTTTAGTTTAAGGTCCAATTCTCACTATTAGCAAACAATTAACTATGACTTTTGCCTCAATAAACTTCTAATTTGCTGATTTTTAATCGTTAGTAAGGTAGTTGTTAAGTTTAGGTATTAGGGATGTAGTATATGATCATGTAGAATATGTGCTTTATAAGTACTAATAAACATCCAATATGTTATTAATAGGTATGCTACTAAGCAACTAGTTAATAGTGAGAATTGGTCTCTATACTAAAATGTTACCAAAAAAGTTTAGTCCACAGAAACATTGTTAGTTCCTTGTTAATATCTTGCAGTGTTTTTTCTTGTCATATTTTAGCCATAATTGAATGATTTTAATTCATTTAAAAATGCACAAAATGTTTAAAATGAATATTTTGAAAAGAAAGTTAAAGAGAAATGTAATTATTATTTGTTACAATTTCGATTAGTTACAATTATTATTTGAAAAACTATTATAACATTCTCATTTTTTAATCCATTTAATGCATCCTTGCTAAATAAATATATATCTATATTTTTTTTTAATCATACTGAGCCCAAACATTATGCAAAATGAGCTGTCAACTTAAACCACTGTAATTTATGATCTTCAGAAATTCAGTGCGGTCAGGAAGGAGGATGCTGGAGAATATTACTGCAGAGCCAGGAATGAGGCTGGGTTCTCCGAATGTGGACCGCAGATGATGGAAGTTTGTGCGTATTTTGATCGCCTTTTCACATGTGATAAGGACACCCTGCAAAGCCACGATCTCACGCTTGGCCTTTTTCTGTAGATGACATCAACATTGCTGGAATCATCCTGGGCGTAGTGGTTGTGGTGACGGTCCTTCTGTGTATAACAGTGGGCATCTTCTGTGCCTATAAACGAGGCTACTTCACCAGCCAGAAGCAGACGGGAAACAAGTAAGCACACGACTTCCGTCTGAGTCACACTCTGTCCCAGAGCAGGTTTGACTCACCGTTTTATGGCTTTTTTCCATTTAATCACCCAAGGAGCTCCTGAATATTTCCAGCTCAGTCCTAACATCACATGTAGTCTGTTCAGATCTTTGAAATACATAGTAGTGACTGTTGGCTTAAAATGTTTTGCAGATGTAAACTGACAGGTTATATGTTTTCTCTCCAGTTACAAAGCTCCAGCAAAAGGAGATGGAGTGGACTATGTCAGAACAGAGGATGAGGTATGGGAAAATAAAGAGATGTTATTTTGTATTAAGGCTTCCAAGAGCTTAAGAAATCTCCTGGAAAGTCTAGCAGTTTAAAACAGGGAATCAGTTAAACCTCCTTCACTCAATCTTCTCTCTTTCAGGGGGATTTCCGACACAAATCCTCGTTTGTCATCTGAGAGGAGGAAGACGGGTGATGGAAGAGATGTGGAATTACGTTGAAAGTTATTGGCGCTATTATACCTCGCAGACACGAATCCCCAAAAGAGGACATCGACGTCGGAGCTGCCATTGTACGTGCCTCGCTTTACGGCACGTCTGCAACAACACAATTTGTATTTGCCAAAGGTGACAAATAATCATGTCTGATCACTGTTTAAAGACACTAGATGTTACTTGTTTGTTTAATTCAACTTTTACAGCCCCTTTTTACTCAAATTTCACCTATTGTAAAATTTCAGTAGAACCAGACATACAGCAAGAAAACGTTTTCCTCGAATCTTCTGTCTTTTTAAAACATTTATTTTGTACTAGGTAAATTTGTCAGACTATTTTTGATGGAATATATTTTAAAATGCCTACAGAAAAAAAAAAGGTTTACTTTTTTAAATATTTGTAAAATACTAACCTGGAAGCCAGTACTTTTTTTGTCAATTTGGTTGTGAAAGAAACCATTCCCACCAACTTCCCATCCTCTGTTTTAGTCATTCAACAAACAAATAGTGTACAAGACCACTCCATGTATGGATGTTTTGTTTTCCATTCAGATTTCAAATCCTTTCAATGGTATATCCAGCGACACCGGCTTCAATCATAGGTCTTATGTACTTACTATACTGCTGGGATTTCATGTTAATAGTGAAAGGACGTTCCATGTTCATGTTTGTAGATAGTCTTAGACAGTGAGTATCTTCAGAAAAACACCAGCGAAAAAGCTGGAGAATATTTTGAAAGACCAGTGCTGCGTATCCTTGATTTTAAGTGTCCTTCTATGCTAGCTGTTTATCTTGTATATAGTGAATATACTGTCTAGGTTGTTTATTTTGTATTATTATTTTTTTCTTCTCTTTATCTCGCTCTACATCTTTTCTGTTTTTCTTATTTGAGCGAGAAACACTCTCCATGTTACTTTTTAACATAACAGGGTTTGTTTGTTGGCTAACTGTACTGGTTGTATATAGATCCACTGTGAGCTACACTGTGCATAAGAAGTTTCTGGTTTAACCAAACGTTGAATGAGGCAAATATGACACTCTTTCCATTGAAAACCGAGTTGGTCATGGTAGAGAGGGGATCTGCCTTATTAAATACATTTAAAAAACAATCTGGAACAATGTACACTTACATTTTCTTCCATAGCAATGATTATGGATAAATTTGGACTATTCACACATACTTTTGAAGATGTTAAAGGGTACAATCCGCTGAAACTAAATGCTATTGATAATATTTTATGAGTAAAACCATTTTTTTTTATTCTGCCATGTTCTCAGTAAACTTCATGAATCATAAATCATTCCTCTTAAGTGCCTTCCTCTGTAGACGGTGACAATAATGCAATTTTCAATCGTTAAATGCTGTAGCAGTTAATTGGAATATGCAGAACAATTTTTCTAATTCACATCCAATTCATCGCTCTTAAACCAGGTCAATAATTAGAAAATAACAGGTGTTTGAGAGGAATGATAATGTTCTGTGCTCACTGTTTTGGTCACACATATCTAATATTATATATTTTATTGTAAATAGACCTGTTGTTGTGCATTGATTTGGGGATTTTTTATTGACGTAGATATTCTATTATGTATTAGTGCCTAAATGTAGAATGAAATAATGTTTCAGGAGGACAGAGTACTAGTGTTAATTCAGCAGATGGAATTGGAAATTCATAGTTTCACTAGACATATGCGATGTATTATTGATTTATATAGTAAGTTAGAAAGCGAGGTATAGCCTACATTATGGGTCACACACAGCCCAATATCCCTGCATATGTCACTAGAGTACTGTGAGGGAAACAGAAAAAATCTGTGGTTTGAAAGAGAAAAAAAAAAAAAAGCAGGGAGAGCTGTACCAAATACTGACTGCCAAATGAGCATTTTCTCCAATTCCAGTATTATTCTGCTCCCAGGTCTCTTTCTTTTTTTATTTTGTTTGTAACTCTTGAGCAAGATTTTTTGGAAGCTGAGTTCAGTTTTTCACTCATTTTAGTTTCTGTGGAGTTTGTGGTTGTTTTGGAGACAGTTGGAATTTTAAGTGAAACATATTTCATTCACTGAATTCATGTAATGTCCCATTGGTTTGGGACCGGTACAAATCCTGTGTGAATTCTTGAACAGTATGCTTGTGATTAATAAAACTCACTTCTTAAATTCGTTATGTTGTCGTCATGCTTTTTAAAATGAATTAATTGTCTAAAATAGAAATGACTGTAACAGGTAATGAATGTCAGAGACAGAAATTGTGGAGTTCACGCCAATAAATAACGAACGAGTTATCAGGCCGACCATTTAAAGGTACATAGTCTGCTTACACTGTTTTACACGGGACTTTTGAAAATCCTGCAGGCCTACACTCCAAAGAGATAAAGGCTCCAGACATTTAAGTAGTCTAATAAAAGCAGATTTATTTTACATGGAGGAAGTCACCTCATGGGGAACTGCTAACGTTATGTCCAGCAGAATATGTCTCTCATTATATGGACTTCTGCCCGTGGTGAATAAATTTATCTTATAAACAAGTCCAAGTCGACTGCTATAAAAAACTAAATACTGAATGCAGCTTTCATTTTATGGTAGAGTTTCTTAATGTTAAAGGCAAATTGCTTATTTTATCCATAGAGTGCGGATTTACCTGGCATACTTATTAATATTGAATGTTAGCCTTGGTAATACTTGGTTTCAGATCAAAAGAGAAATTAAATGGTATCGCCAGTCCACAATGTATGGTTGCTAATGCCCGCTCTTTCCTCTAACCATGTCTTATTAGTCTTATAAACGTGTCGGGCACAATCCACTTGTTACACCCAACAGCCGCCTCAAACAGGATTTGCAGGGTAACCTGATTAACGAGTTAACCCGAATCAGCAGCCCTGCCGAAGGGTCATCACTGCTGAGGGCTTCACCTCTGATCCGCTGACCTCTCTAGATTAATCTAGTGGCTGTTTGGACACTGAACAGCTCTGGATCAATGGACATAAATGAAGTGCTACCCAAAATTTGGTAAACAGCGCCCTCTTCTGGTGCAGAAAGAACAATTTTCCCTAGTAGTTTGGCTGTATACGACAATGTACAGTATGCTGTATGGCGCCTTCAAATTATTCATAAATCCTTTAATGCAAGTAAATGCAAGTAAGTTGCACTGTCCTTGATGGGATTTGCAGATATATATATAAGATTAGGATTCTCCGTGTCTATGATAGATAGATAGATAGATAGATAGATAGATAGATAGATACTGAGCTGGTTACTCACCATTACATAAAGGCATAAATAAACATAAATCTGAATGCCTTCTGTACTTCATTTAAGAAACAGAAGAAGAAAAAAAGGATCAATTCTGAATGTAATGAATTCTGGAGTAAATACTGTATATAAGAAACATTAACATTATGTCCATCCTTGTAGTATCAGCCCAGTTGATGGCAGTATAACTCTGATGATCACTAAACCACAAGAGAGGAAGAAAAAACTGCGTTGCCAGATCCCACTAGAAAAATAATCACTCTGCCTAGTCTGACAAATCTGCAGAAGGTTCCACAATCGACAAAAATTAAGAGAAAATAAAATAAAACATTGTTTTGTGGCATTTCAAAATATTTTAAACTTTTATTCCAATCCTTAAAGCATCTAAAAAAAAGAATGGTTTTAACTCTCTAAATTAATTGCAATATTTATTAAAGCTGCAGTCCGTAACTTTTTTTTGGTTAAAATTATCCAAAATCAATATTTGAGCAAGTACATAATCAGCCAGTGTTCAAAACTAACTTGTTCTGATGGCAGTATACAGTGAACATTCTTATTTGGGTCATATATTCCAAGACCTAGACTAGAATCTGTGAGTGAGAAGTACAGTAAATATCCACACCGGTGCGGTGACCGACTGCCACACACACATACTCCGCATAACATTAGATTCATCTGTGCTGGAGCCATGCTGGAGCACAACCCCACGCATGGAAGATAATTCCGCACACAGCTGCAATTCCAGGTTTTCAAACAGAGATGGCGACAAAGAGGCAAAATTTATGGACTGCAGCTTTAATTAATCTCCTTCAGTCTAATACTCTAATTTGTTTTAATTTGCTATCATATATTATTATATGAAATTATTATTATAAATTATACAGTATTTATTATTTGTAGTGTATATATATACGTGTGTGTGTGTGTGTGTGTGTGTGTGTGTGTGTGTGTTTATTTATCGTGGTGTATTTACAATGATAACGCAGTGACACTTTACAACGAGGTAAAATGCATTAATAACAATTATAATTTAAATTAAAATATTATGTTCATGTTATTTAAAGAGGTTTAGCAACGTTTTTTTAATGAAAATCAATCAAATTAAGCGGACATGGCAACACTGGAAGAAACCCTTGTTTAGACAGGCGCCTGCTTTTCTCGCGTGATTACACGTTCTTACGTCATACTTCTTTGCGTTAGTCAAGGGAACTGCAGAGCGATTTCACCTATATTTCTGTACAGAACGTTTTCGTTCATTTAGTATTTTATCGTTCATGCGTTCCCGATTAAACATATTTTATGGCTGTAACAGGACGTTGCAACGGATACTTTGGGTAAGATCTCATATGCATTCAGTTACCTTAATACTATTCTGTAAGATACAGTCTATGGCTGTCTCAAAACCCAGTGTTCTGCCTATCTAGACAGCATTTTTGGACATCATAAGCGACCGACATAGCAAGGCAGTCTAGGTAAGTTAGGCAGCTCTCTGGGTTCATGCATACATGTAAATGTCTTACTGCATCACAATAATGCTCAATAGAGCAAGCGCAGTACTATTGCACCTTACCGTTACTTCTTTGGATAACGAGCAGGGCCAAAGTGAACTGTCATTTTTACTTTATTTTGTTCATACTTGATTATGATAAATTATTCTAACATGCCCACGCACCATATAAAACATTTGTTTTGTTTTAAAAATATCAACACTTAATAATGTTATTTTTAAATGAAACAGTTCAAAAACAATTTGGTTAGTTGAAATAAAGTTGAAATAAAATAAAACAAATATTAGATGAAAAATTGATGAAAAACTCAAATAAAAAATAAAACAGAATTAAAATGATAGCTAGATAGATCAAAATGACAGAAGATAACAAAATTACTTAGACTGAAATTAAAATTAGAAACAAGATATAAAAATAAAAGCAAAATATTAATACATTCTGTAATAATATAGAATTAATATAACCAAAAAGAGTGTCACAGATGTTATAGACTTTAAGGAAAAAAACAGGTTAGATTGACTATAATGAATTTTGAAAATGAAATTTTTACACCGACTGTAATTTATATTTGTCTGATTTGATCTGCAGTTATTTTATTCGTTAGGCTGGCTTATCAATATTGAAGTGTTTCTTATATAAAACTTAATTTAATAGGGTCACTTCTTCAAATCCTTCATCATAGAGTGATAGAGAGTTTTGTTTCCTTTTGGGAAATATTAATTAATAGCAAACACAAGCATATATTGACTCACAGAATAAATAATCTAATCATAGATTAACTAATACTTTGTTGTATGAGCAGGATGGGCTGTGCAGACCTTATGTTATAGCTTGCTCTGTGTGGACATCACCGCCACCGTGGAAGAAAACGGCAGCTCATGGCACCAGGCCTACACAAACTCGGGCTCCAGCCCCCTCCCAGCACCACCCGAACACTTGTGCAAGGCCTGCGGAGGCCAGTTTGACACCGTAAGAACAGTAAATCCGTCTACTCCAATTCTGCTATTAAAGGGATAGTTCACCCCAAAATGAAAATTCTGTCATTAATTACTCACCCTAATTACTCATGTCGTTCCAAACCCGTAAGACCTTTGTTCTTCTTCGGAA